AGCGGATTATTTTTCCTTCTCCAAAATAAAGGAGGGGAAAATATTTGCAGTTCCCCTCTCCCCGTTAGTCTACTATAATATTATATATATATATATATATATATATATATATATATATATACGTTATTCGTTATCAACTCGGAATGTTCGTTGATGAACGTTTGATAAATAAAATAAAAATAAAACAAAAATTTTAGAAGATTAAAAAGAACGATATAAATAATATGTTCGACTATCTTCTAATGACAACAGAATCGTTAAATAATTAAACTCGAATGATAGAAACTGTTAAAGGTAATTAATACCATTGTTGATATTAATAATGAATTATTTCGATATAATATAATGAGAATCGAAGAGAAATATGCTCGCTCATTAATCACGATAAACAAGTGTATTTCGTTTGTAGTATCGATTATATTATGTTAAATTGCTTTTTCTCATTGTGTAATAAAGTTAAACATTAGGTGTGCCATATGTTATTATTGTCATCGTAAGTGAGATATTAAGGTTTTGTATTAAAGGGTAGCGAAAAAGTACGCGTTTACGAGAGTATACTTTATCCATTTTCTTGTAGTTGTAGCACGTACGAATAAACGAGTACGAACGTGGTTCTCGTTTCGTGAAAACTGAAACTACTTACTTCGGTTGTACCTGCTGGAAACGAGCCGTCGTTTCATCGAACTCTCTGAAGAGTCATATTTCAATGTCTACAGGATTGTTTTCATTCTCGAAACTACTATAGATGTAGCCAACGTTAATAATTATACACGATTAGTCTTTTTTTTTTATTGGAAAATAATCGATATTCCCACTTTTTGTTTTTTTTTAATCAGCTCAGTTAACATAATTTTATTATATCAATAAAGAGGAAAGTTCAAATAAGTTTGTTATTTAAATGAAACGCTGTTATTTGTTTTTTTTTTTTTTTTTTTTCGAAATTCATTGAATATTGATTTTATTGAATATCTAATCTAATGAAATATAATTCATTTCCGAAACAAAAATAATCCAATTAGAAATTCTTTTAATTTATTTTATATTTTTATCGGAAATGAAAACTCTTTATAAGTCATATACAATTCAGATCAATTCGGTACAACTCCGGGAAAGAGGTTCGAAGAAGTTCCGTTATAATTTCATAAGCCGTAGGAGCATCTAACTGTTAAAGTCGAGGGTGTCGTACGGTCGAAAAGGTATTTCGAAGTTTTAGGGGGCCAGAGAAGACCGGGTCAGTGTCATTAATCATTTTCGTGCCGCTTCATAGACGCATGCATTATTCAAAAGCGTTTTCGCCGAAGCTATGCATAACTTTTGTCCACTTTCGTAAAAGATACATTCGTCAAATACTTTTCCAATCTATATGAGGAAAATCTGCGAAGAAAAAACATCGATTAGATTTAATAATAAATCATCTCTCTCTCTCTCTCTCTTTCTCTCTCTCTCTCTCTCTCTCTCTCTCTCTTTCACAATTTTTTTCTCTTACAAATGAGAATTTCATCAATTTTTTTTATCACAGAATAATATGCTTCTGTTATATCTTTTCTTTCGTTAAATAATCATTTTATTCTTAAGATAGATACCCGATTCTATTCTAAAATCCTAAAAGCTCATTTGATATTGAAAGACAGTCAGGAAGTGAAAAGTTCCGGTGAATAACTATGAAATAAAACATGAAGACCATCCATCGCTTTCAAAAGATCCGTAAAATCTTGTAGAAACGAATGCAGCATCCGTCTAAGAGATTCGTGAGCGCTTGCTTGGGTGTAAATGTAAGCACGTGTAGAAAGTACACACATAGGTGTACTTATCACTCCCGAGATGGTGCAAGGCCACTCGACCGTCACGTAACTCGGATTCTTCAGCGTATCCATCCTACACGTATACATGTACACAAACCTTAATCATTCAAATGCATACAGATACGTATGTATGCATTCATATTTGTATATGCTATATTATACAAATAGTACAGGTTTCACTATCTTTTTCTTTCACGACGAGCGCCTAAAAGTTCCCAATTTTTTTTTTTTTTATTCTTTTTACATTTTTTTCCGATACTTCAACTTTTTCTCTCCTTCTTATTCGACTATAATTTTTGTCTTTTTTTTCTCTTTTCTTTTCTTTCTTTCTGTCTCCTTCATACTTTTTTCCCGTGGCTCGTTTTCAAAACGAAAATACATTTTTCCAAGCGCCTCAGTGAAATTAGTTAATCTCGACTGTTCTTCGACTTCGTTCAACTTTTCCGCGGATATTTTGCTTTCGCGTTGCTCGTTAGTCTCAGCAAATTTGTAATCGAGTAGAAAAGACGTACGGAATGCAAGCTCGATGATTTCTCTTGTTTTCATTTGTAGATTTTTCTCTTTTTTTCTTTCCTAATATAATTCTCGTTCTTGTTTGATTGATTTTTGTTTTCTTTTGTTGTTGTTGTTGTAATAAAAAATCGAATTTATATGTGTCGTATATTTTTTCTTTCATTGTAGTTTATTTTACTACGAATCAAATAGACCGATTAGGCAATCATGCGTTACATGAGTTCGTATATTAAATTGAATAAAACCAGGAAAATACAAAGAGAAAGTAAAAAGGTATAAAGTAACTTTTGTTAGACTATGCATGCAACTGAGTCTATTGCCTAAGGATACTAAAGTTCGTTCATACTTGAAAGGAAAGCAACGCTCGTATGATGGAAATTTAAACGTTACCAAAAGTTTTGCATCTCTCTCTCTAAAGACTAAAGAATTTTAAAAGAAATCTGTTGTCGGTATTTCTTTGCATATTATAATACAAAAATTGTATACAATGTAATGCAACATAATATAATTATTTATTTATTTATTTATTTATTTACAAGAAGCAATCTTTTATACAAAATTTGCATAAACGGTATAGGTGACAGTAAACAAACAAAAAAATAATAATTATATAAGACGCTTAAGTCAGTGGTATAGTTTTCTTACTCACAATAGAAATATTCAAATATTTAAGAATATCATCATAGTTATGACAATTAAACAACGCTGGTTGTCTACAATGTTTGGTAGCAAGTCTACAAAATTTATGTTGAACTTGTTCTATATAATTATTATACATATTGTTAAATCAAATCTGATAAAGAATTAGAAAGATCTAAAATATGTTTAAATATATATGGTTCAATTTGTACAATTCAAATATTTAACATTAATTTAAACAAAGTTGAATATTATAGTATTTATCGATTTTATATTATTATTATAAAACTTTTTACTAAGCGTATATATAGATTGACAAAGATATTGTGGTCTATAGTCTCAAACAACAAGAACGAGTTAAACGGTGGTCAGAGTTCGTCGTGCCGTAAATTCCGTTTCTACTAGCAGTAGTACAACGTCGCTTTAAAACGATCGCCTTGAAACTTGTGCAGCCAAGATTGGTAGAAGCTTACATACTGTTGCAAGTTCAGTTCATGGTCTATATACAATGAAATCACATAGAGATCGTTCTGAGAACACCGGAAACCGTCGTCGTCCCAAATACCTGCGAATGACATTCGTGGAAAATCGTCTCGAAAGTTAAACGTTATCAATAGTCACTGTTATTGTTGATCATCTATCGTAGATCGATAAAAAGAAAAACCTTCGCTTATCTTATAATATAGAGAAAAAACCGTATTTCTTTGTTTTATGAGAAAGCAGAATTCTATCTAAATGAAACTAGATCTATCAATATTTATTTTTCTACTTTTCATTGAAATACTATGTTAGAATACTCGAAAAAGAAACTTTTTAAGTTTCTTTACTTGCTTAGTTTCTTTCTCTCTCTCTCTCTCTCTCTCTCTCTCTCTCTCTTTCTACCTTCTTCCTGTACTTAGGAAATCAAAGCAGTATTTTCAAAATCGAATCTTATCATAGTAAATTCAATGAGTTACAGTACAGTAGTTCTGAATTCCCTTTGATATCTCAACTCGATGTATAAGATAGTTTCTGCTGTGTTCATAAATAAATCTATCCTTGGATGCTATAAATGCGCATATTTGTCTATTGGAGGTATGAGAAAGAGAGAAATAAATAGGAAGGAAAGGAAAAAGATGGATACATTTCTTCGATTTATTATAGAATTGCACGAAAGGAAAGATTCTACAATGTTCGACGTGTTTCTTTTCCCATTAATCGATTAGTTCTGCGCATTAATTTTTCTTTTCCTTTTTTCTTTTTGTAAAATAAATGAAAAATATAACAATAATAATGACTCGTGTAATATCTTATTTATATAACAATGAACATTTATGCCCGCCATTTCTTTTCCTTGAGTGATATGCTTCCTGTATTATTTATTCTTTTCTTCTGTCCCTTCAACATATTTTTTCATTTTATTTTGCTTCCTTTTTTTTTATCTTTTTGTATCTTTACGTTCATCTGGATATCCTCTCTCTTCCCAACATAAGTCTTCTTATTCTTTCCTCGACGACGATGTTCATTTTATTTTTTTTAATCTTTAATTTGTCAATCAGAAACACGTTATTGCCATTAACCCAAATAATCTTGAAACGCGAAGATTTTGACGTTGAATTTACAGGTTGACCGTTGCTTCATACTTATTCTTTACTCTTTTTTTCATTTTTCTTTTTATTTTCATATAAAAAATATTTTTTTAATACGCTGGTTATTCGTTATTAGTATTGCGTATCAGACATAATAAGATCTATAGAATTTTGTATTTTTTAAATTGACATTAAAAAAAAACTCCACGAGTGGGTTGATTTTTTCTATAATTTCTTTTTCCGTTTGAAATGAAGTGGTATACAAGAATGTATGTGAAATTTCTTCTTGTGTCTTTGTTTTCTTTTTTTGAAACAATTAAATTTAGGTTCTTACTTAGTGCCCAATGTATAATTCTGATGAATACCCACAACTGTATAGAATTAAACAAAAAAATCTGTGTCCTGTCAATTTAACTCTTATCTTGTTCGAGGGTTCTATTATATTTCAATCCTGAATAATTGATTTTTATTGTTTCAGAGACGCTTGTCATGACTCTTGGACGCAACTTCGATTATCAACGGTCTTTGGTTGTATATGTCCAAACAATCACGTAAAAAAACGATGCGACAGGATCTTCTCATTGGTCAATCATAATCCATGCGTCGGTGAGTATAAGAGAAAGCGAGAGTGCAAGAATGTGAGAGTGACTGATGAGAGAAAGGAGGAGTTGAGATGAGACGTAGCAGATTCGATCGGTAGGTCGAAAAGTCCTCTGCATTTGTTCGTCACTGCTTGAACGTACGAGTATTTCTATTTTATATTAAATATACATAAACATTAATTTATTACAAATAGAAAAATATTGTAAATACTTCATCAACCAAATCGAATTAATTATTTTAAATATGATTACAAAATACTCTTACGATCGTAAATCTATGTTCTTGCGTATATTATAGGTACCGGTAAACAAAGGATCGTTTAAATTATTATTAAAACATTATCCGCGCTAAGTATTACATAGTAAACAAATATTAAATCATATAATCAACGTTTCACGCTAATAAAAACGATCTTTTATTTACGGTATTTACATCGTTTTAAATTCAGTCTATTTTTCTTGTACGTTGAATCGAGTAAAAATTGTTGCTCAAAGAATGAACGAGTATAAAAATGACTATAGCACCTTGTGAAAGTCGACTGTTGGTGTTGTGAAGTAACTTGGATGACAAGTTTTTCTTTCGTCACGTTGTTTTACGAGATTACATCTTGTGTCTCTATGTATCTGTATCATGTAAAAATTTTTACTTTTTTTCTCTCTCGTTTTCTTTTGTTTCTATTTATTTGATCAATGTATGCGTCGGATCGAAAGGTCTTATCGATCTTGGATTAAAAAGCAAAGTTGCATTTAGACAATTCGTTTGGTCGAGAATAATAATACTCAGTCTACGATATTTTTTTATCTAATTGGGAACGATTAGAAAAATAAAACAAATATAGAAGAAGCAGTAGCGAAGCAATTACTTTTAATGATACTGCTGTATTTAGAGCTCGCAAGACGTCGTTATAGCATCCTTTAGATAAGCTCCCTTTTTCCTAATTAACCGAAAACTCATGCTATTAAAACGTAAATTGGGTTTTCATTGTATAGTCGATTGAGTCCTAATTTTATTGAAAAAATTCTTCTCTCGAAACGATATTTTTACATCCTTAATAAACTCGTTAAATAATTTTTATTTGCTTCTAACAATGATTAATAATTATTTCATATAATTCCTAAAAATAATTCCGCACTGATTAAAAGTTTATAAAATATGTATGTCTATAAAAAAACTAATATATTAATTAGATATGCTTGCTTATATATCCAGGATCGATGACGTTTCATATATTTTTGCCTCGCAATGGTAATTTTATTGGCATTGTTGAAACACGAGCGTGCGGTCACGCGCGAATTGCAATGAAAGATAAAGGAGAAAAGAAAACGTAAGTAAGTAAGTTACAAATATCACACACAAGGGCATGTGTGACCTATGTGCAAATGTTTATTATCTATGTGCGCGTCTGCGGAACGACTTCGCACTGTGCCATAGGAAGTACAATGGCAAAGCAGCTTAAACATTGCAGTATAAGTGTTGCATATTTTAGCGAGATCACATTTATGAAACTTTTAGTTGTTACTAAAGTTACGAGATTATCGAAATAAATGCCGAAAACTCGAAAACTAGTATGATCATTAATCTCTTTGCGTGTATACTTTCATATTATTATTATTATTATTATTATTATTATTATTATTATTATTATTATTATTATTATTATTATTATTATTATTATTATTATTATTATTAT